GCCTCGCTGGAGTGGGCACCTGCCCCCGCGAGCCCCGGAGCGCCAGCCCCGGCTGTCTAACTGCGTTGCGCCCGGCACCAGGCACGGGGTAGGCGTTTGGGCGGCGGCGGGTGGTGGCGCGCAGGCCTGACCCACCCCTCCCGCAGCACATCAACGAGCTGACCATGAAGCTGAGCGTGGAGGACGTGCTGACGCGGGCCGAGGCCCTCTACCGGCAGCTGACGGCTTGCGCGGTGAGTCGCGCCCCCCGGCAGCCCCCCGGCAGCGCCTCAGACCTCTGACGCCCGCCTCGCCCTCCAGGAGCTGCCCCTCAACGTGCAGGAAGTCCTGGGTCTGGTGCCCCCCGCAGAGCCTGGCAGCCCCTCACCCCCCACCTCTCCATTGCCGCTGTCGCCCTCCCGGGCCCCACCTGCCCCTCCGGCCCCCACGGACACCGCCCCGCAGCCAGACAGCAGCTTGGAGATCCTGCCGGAGGAGGAGGAGGAGGAGGAGGGGGGCGGGGACTCCTAGCCCCCCAGCCGCCGCCGGCACTGGCACTTTATGTCCCTCGGCCCCGCCCGCCAGAGGCGGCTGGGGTGCGGGTGCGGCGCCCCGACCGTGCCTCCTGATGAACTGACTTCTCTACACTGACACTGGCCGCCAGCCTGAGTAGGTGCAGGAAGGAGGCGGCCACTACCGCTTGGACCCAGCTGGGCAGGGGGCGCAGGGGGCTGGGGGTCCCCTCCGCGAACCCAGGTCTGACGCTCGATGCCCTTTCCGCCGAGGAGTCGAGGCGGCCCTGGGCGGCGGCGGCCCTCTCCTGAGCCTGGGGCCCTCGGAGGGGGGCGGAGTGGGTGCCACCCAGTAAGCAGGTTGCGGGGGACACATCCCGGGCGTCACCCGCCTGCCAGGGTTGCTCCAGCTTGGGCTCTGTGCACCAGCTGATCAGCGTGAGAATAAACTGGCACTTAACCTACCTCAGCGCACTTGCATGGGGACCCCCCCCTGGGCGCGGGGCGGCGCCCGCTGTGGCCCTGCAGCGGTGGTGCTGGTCGGGCTGGCTCCCCAGCTCGCTCTCCCCGCGGCGCCCCTCCCGGCCGGGACTCCCGGCAGCGCGAGCACCCTGGGGCGGGGCGGACCACACGGCTGTTTCCGAAAATACTTTAATGCGGCTCCCTCTGGTGCGTGGAGTGCTGCGAGGTCAGCTGCAGGAACGGGAGGTTGGTGGCCTCCTCCAGCTCCGACCCCAAGTGGCCGGTCGCCGCGCGGCCCCGCCCCTCCTCGCGCCCGGGCGCCTTGTGCCTGTGCGCGTGGCCCTGGCCCTGGCCCTGCTCCGGCTCCCACTCGCGGTTGTTGATGAGCACCGCGGCGCGCAGCGCCGACTTCACGGCCGTCTCCACCCAGCCGTGCGGGTAGGCCGTGTGCTCGCCCGCGAAGTAGATGCGGCCGAAGGGCACGGCCCAGTCGTTGGCGTGCCGCTCCTCGCCGGGCGTCTGCCAGAGCGTGGGCGGCTGCACCACGAAGCCGCCCTGGCTGTGCGGGTCCTCCGCCCAGCGCTTGATGACGCCGCTGCCGTCCCACAGCCGGTAGGCGATCGGGCCGTGCAGCGCCGCCACGTCGTCGAGCGCCAGGCGCAGCGCGTCTTCCAGGCTCAGCCCGGCGAAGGTGGCCGTGGCGTCCGACCATGTGTACGAGGCCAGCAGCAGCGCGCCCTCTCCGGGCGGCGGGTAGTAGATGACGCGCGACGGGCGGAAGGTGCTCGAGTGGCCGCCCTCGATGTGCTCGTCGTTCCAGAAGGGCCGGCGGAAGCTCAGGTACACCTTGGTGGCCGGCACGTAGTGCAGCGCGCGCAGCGCCTCCTCCCGCTGGCGCGGCAGCGGCGGCGTGAA